CTACTTTCCTCTCCATCCGAATTTCAGCTCATAATTTCCTACCAGAATGTGTTTTTAGAATCATGTTTAATGCAAATGAGTAAGAGTAGTATTTGAATCGAAGTTCCACTGACCACCTGAGAGAGAGCCTCAGAGTTTCTGACTATCATGCATTTGCTTTTTGGCTACATCTCTCTAAGCTGTTACTACACTTGGCTGTATAACAAGCCCTTGATAGCTTCGCTAGCTTATTCGATATTTAGAGGCCAACTACTTAGAATTTTAATAGCTTTGGGTACAACTGTGATATACACCCTAATATCACCAAATGTGGCAATATGTGTTCTGTGCTGGTTTCTGGTGCGATTGCGTGTTGTATGGCAACCCTGTTGACGCTGAAAAATCTTTCACTGGAGCTCGTTGGTTCGCATCTGTGTCTGAGAAGATAGGGGGGAAAGATAAAATGGTGAAAGTTGTTGAATTGAAGTTCGGCAAAAGGAAATATCATTGTGGCCATCCTGTTGAGTAGCAGTGGGTGTTTGGAGGAGTGTAAAGAAGGTCTGGGAGATTATTTTTAGTGGCTGTGCATGATAGAAGTAGAGATTTGTGATTATTTGTGAACCATAGTATGAATTTTCTGGATAGTGTGTCTGGCTGTCATATAAATATGATAGTGATTACGTGGTGGTATGAATTTTTTAAGTTTAAACAGGATGCTGTGTACATGGTATTCTTTGAAATTTATTGTTATGTTAATTTATTAAAGCAAGGTGTGCGTAGTTCATAGATTCCTTCGCTGCCTATATTTTGCAGTTCGTAGATGTTTTTTTTAAGTTAAAGCATATCGTTGTGTACATGGATTCTTGTCAAATATTTTGGTTGGAAACTTTATGTTTTTACTGTCTAAATTTTTTGTTTTTGTTTCGGATATTTAGCTTAAATTGTGTGTTCAAAATGTGGTTTTTGCATTTGCGAAAAAGGCGTTTTTGGAGACATTTTAGGCTTAAAGTTCGAAATATAGACAACAAATTTTGATAGTAATATGGCAGCGTGGAGTTTCTCGCCAAAAATATTTGCCGAGAAATTTGGCGACTTGAGGGCGCATATCAGAGTAGTTCCTAGCTTTGGCTATATTTCTTTAGTTAAATCTTATTTTGTTATTATTTTCAGTTTAAGCCCAAATGGAAGGTTTGCTTTATGCCCTAAGAAAGGGGCCATCTGTTAACTATTATTTTGAGCAATAAAGCGTAATTAAGTTTTCTTGAGTTTACATCTTTGTTCCTCAACTAAAGTGATTATTTGCTTAGCTGTTCATTAGGTTCCTCCACATTTATTTGTTAGATAATTGTCAATTGAGCCACCGCGTCCTATCCATTGGTTAGGGAAAGTTGTATTTAAAAATGCACGAACATGCTTGTCCCAGTGAGGAGGAGCTCCACCTTGTTGGAAGATAACAGTGGGTTGTAAATGTTGCATTTAGGGTATTGTGTAAATTTGTAACATGTCCAGGTAAATGTTTGCCATCAAAGACGTCTCATCAAGCAGAAATGGTCCTCTGACTACTGTATAATGTGATAGAGCATACCTGACATTGATTTTTGGGCTGCTTCGTTCCAATTCATGTAGTCAATGGGGATTTTCTGAGCCCCAAGTTCTGTAGTTGTGCTTATTAATGTTGTTGCTAACATGAAATGTAGCTTCATATGAAAAAAAGTTGTGGTTTAGAAAATTGTGTTCATTTTCAATGCGAGATAACATCTTCTCAGCAAATGCTGCATGCTGTGGCCTATCATTTGGTTGTAGTTTTTGCACAATCTTCATTTTATATACATGCATCCTCAGTTTTCGATTCAGCACATCACGAATAGATGGCAGATAATTCAGAAGCTGCCTGCCTGATCGACTGACGAGTGCTCCGAACAAAAGCTTGTCAAACATCTTCCACACGTGAATCAGAATGTGAACACCGATCATCTCAGGATCATTTCAATACACATCCCATTTCAAGAAACGTTTTGTGCCACTTTTTTATGCTCTTAGCCTGGAGTGTATTTCTTTTATAAACTGTTTGAAACATTCTTTGCACTTTTACTACAGATTTGTTTTCTGCATAGCAGAGAACAGTTTGTCCCTTTTCTTGTAGTGATGCCATTTTTCTGTTTGTTGGCTCAGGAAAGCACAGGTGCATCAGACACGAGAAAAAAATTTTGTTGCCAAACTCTGCGAATTCAGCTCCCACATGTGGCCTATATCGCCAACTCTAAAATTTTGTTTTTAATCGACTGTTCGAAATAGGTACTTTTAATTTGGACACCTTGTATATGGGGATCACCTTTTGAACACCTAATGTGTGTTTCTATTTGATATGCTGCATTAAGATATAGTATTATGTCTTGTCTGAAAATGCTGTTTCATTAGCTTTATGAACGAGGTTTTCAGGAGGACTGCAATAAAAACATTAAGTATCCAAATTTAACTATCTTATAAATGAATAGGGACAAAAGTTTGAGCTTGTAATGCTTTATTGACAAATTGTAATTAGTAAGCAATAAGACAAGTAGCTCTGCTTTCATTGAAAATACTGCTGTTTAATCTTCTAATTAATTAATTAATGTAATAAAACAATAAACTTATCATCACAGTGAATACTGCTGGTAAATTTCGTAAAAACTTTTTGTCATTCATCCAGAAGTATGTCATATAAATCAGAAAATCTGAGAGTTCTGTTAAGGGTGTACTGAGAAATCTCTTTGTAATGCATTGAATTTCCACTTTAGATTCAATAAAACTTGACTAGCAGAGGGTAGAACCCAATATCTTCCATACCTTTATAATACATCTACATATCAACTGGCCTAGTTGCTGATATATCACTTCAATGATTTTTCATCAAGTGCAATGGGAAATAAGTGGAAAGACAATAAACTTTTGGGGATTTGAAGGGGGAAAAGAAAATTTTTCATCTTGCCAAAATATTTGAACATCTGCTGCGCAACTTGCTCCTATGCAACCATTATCAAGCAGCATTGTTAATCGAACATTCAGTTCAATGAAATGACCTTGTTGATAAGCCTACAAGGAAAGAAAATGAAATCGAATAATAGATAATTTTGATTATCTGCAAAGGAAAAAAAGGTTGTGAAAACAGTTTGGGGAACTCATGGGCATTTTTTGAATGCAAATAGAATCAAATGTTGGTCGTTAGATGGACTAAATAGTAAACTACAAAATCTGGGCCACCAACCAATAAATAAATGACATAAAATAATATAAAAAAATCTCCCTGCTTAATAAGTCTAGGAATGATTAGTATAATGCTTGATAAAAGGGGGCAGGTATCTTGTAAATGCCACTTTTCTCCCTCCAGGCCAACTTAGATGCCAGCATGTTGCTTTCAAACACCTGCTGGCTAGGAAGTTACACCATGGCCACTGACAATACATTGACTAACATTGTACTAATACAATAACATGCCGAACAAATATTAATTTAGAAGTCAAACAACAAAGTTAGTATAAGTACTTTGTTAGTTTAGTACTATAATATAATGCTAAGTTTTGTTGTTTGACTTCTAAGTGAACATTGTACTAATTTTAGCTAGGATTACTCTTTTGGCCCTTAAGTGGTTGTGAGGGAGGGTAGCATTTTATTATCTGACCTCAACAATAAGTGAAGCCCAAATGTTACCATGTATGTCATCTTACTAGATTTAAACTAATGACCTAAAATCTGGAATAGCGAAAGCCCTGACAGTTCCGTATCTCAGATGGTATTATTGTAGTAGGTGCAAGATATACACAATAGTCTGAGTTTTAATAATTGTTGCCCCTGTTATCAATAAAAATTAGCTAAATACACATCAAATGAATTTTGCAGTTAAATAGTGCTAGTAGTCAAAAGTCTTTAATCCGGACTCGTCGGGACTTCGGTGATTCCGGATTATCGATTTTTCCGGATTATAGATCATCAGTTTAAATCTGTAAGATGGGCATGCAGAAATTATAAAATTAAAAATATGAAACCGTAATTTATAAAAATAATGAGCAATTATGATCTAAAGGGTATCAAAATTTACAAAAAAAAAAAAAAAGCTTAATATTTTATTGTTTACTTTATTAAACATTTCTTTCAACGCGCACATGCGTAAAGCATACATTATGCATAGCCGAAATTAGAAAATTGCAACCAGAAAACTATTTGATTTGTATTCGTGATATTTATAATGACGAGGAATTTGATTGACGTCCCCCCCCCCCGCCGCGCAGAGCAGCATGAAATTGATAAACAGATTTCGGAACGGTTAGATAAACAAAGGATATGCCTTTATCCATTTTTTGGAGCAATTCCACTTTTTGTTTGTTGGACATCGAAACATTCTTTCGTTTTGTAGATCCTTTGGGAGCTCCAGCATCGGAAATTCTATTTGACATAATCGAAAGTTCAAGCTTACTTTTATAAAATTGCTCTTACAGTCTACAAAAAATAATAAGCCGGATCCAATTCGAAGATTAAGGAACAACGCAATCATCAACATTAACTGAAATAGATAATTAGATAATTTTAGATTATACCGTCCGTTATACATTAAACGCGCACGCGAAAACATATTCTGTGCTTGTGCTCACGCATATGTGCAGTAGTAAAGGTCTTACGCGCACGCGTAAATGCCTATGCGCATGCGTCAACGCGGCACATGCACAGAAAGTTTTTAGCTTTGAGGTCCGGATTATGGGTGTTTGAATTAACGACTTTTGACTGTAATTTTTTTCATAACCTCAAATATTCCATTATTTTATTTATTTATTTTTGGTATTCAGTATTATTTAGTTGTATTGCAAATGACAGTATACTCCAGACTAAAGGAGAAACTACTGAAGAAATATTTTAAGTACATAAAACTGTATACTACTTAAATTTCTGCTAGTACAAGTTTTTAATGCTGATAAAACTACTTTGTTAGTTTAATCATAATATATGAATATTTATATATTTTATGATTACAATTAATATTTATATTGCAGGTTAGATCATTGGGAAAGTGAACAAGATGGTTGGATTCCAACTTTGAAAGTTTTAGAACACCATCAAAATAATCTGAATCCAGTTACAAATATTAATGAATCTATTTCTGTTGCAAAAAAGCAAAAGCTGGATATTGAAAATTGTAAGTTTTTGTATTCATGGTTTGGCTTGTACATTTTATAAAACTGAAATGGTATTGCAGTTTCTGATTTTGTAATCAAAACTGTAGTATAAATCATTTGTTTTTATGATTATTATTGCTCACAAGTAATTTATATATCTAGAAGTAATATTTATTATGTCTTCATGGGAAGATTTCACTACTAAAATAAGTAATGCATTTGCTTATGAAAGTTTTATTACTTTCTGAGCATAGTTAGGGTTCTCAGTGCTCAAGTTCAATGGAAAAATTTGTGCCCTCTCCTGTTTGCCAAAACTCAATGGAGAACATAGTGTTAAAATGTCTGTAATTTTTAAGTTGTCTGTGTTATAATATTTCTGTTTGTACTTTATTTTATTCTAAACCAGTAGCTATTTATTTTGCTGCTAAAACAGGAAGTCACAGTAATATATCTAATATACTGAAAAAAATATGTTGGAAATTAATATGAAACTATTATGTAATAGTAATTGTATAAGAAATTATAGCTTCATATGCAGTGATTAATGTCACACTAAAGGTTATTTAATTATTGTTTCTAGTTCTTAATCTGTTATAGGTTAATATTGGGAATTAACTGCAAAATGCTTAAAAAAATACTGAAGTCCTGACCTTTAGAATATTCGTTGATATTTATTGATTGTTAGGTTAACAGTTAACTGTAATTTAATGTCTTCAGTCTTTCAAAATTGAAGAAAATTATAAATACTCACAGTAGAATGAATATAGATTGTATTTGTTTACCTTCTATCACATAAATATGAATTTTGTCCCTGATGTAGACTTGCAACCTAGTATTGTTTTAGTCTATACTTAATTAAATTTTCAGCAGCATTTTGCTCAAAAATAATTTGGGGATCTTTTTGTTTTAAAAAAAAAATTCTATGATGCACTCTCTCTCTATATATATGTTTATATATATGTTGTGTAGCAAATTTAATTTAATTAAGTGATTCATAAAAATCAAAATTTTAATTTGTAATTATTCAAAATTCGAGCTACACAAGTTTTATTATATTCTTTTTGGCTTATTAATTCTAGTGTAAATATATTTTGGCCTTCCGAGTTTACGCGAACTGCGTCTTCAATCTTACACGCAAACAATGGATAGGTGAATTTTTTCACATAATAAACTCAGTTTTTCATGTCAAAAATTAATTTGATTTCTTAGTATTTAATATCATTAGTTGCAGAAAAATTAGCTCTTTAATTTGACATAACTTTCGTTTTTCTAACTTTTATTGCATTTCAGTTATGAGCTTTAATTAGTAGATTTTTCTTCGTTTGCTTGTGATTTAGTTAAAGGGGGATAAAATGCCCTCTTTCCGGTGAAAAGTCACATTTTGCGAGTTTCAGTGTTCTTTCTTTGGGACGGTTTGCAGGGTTGTTGAAATTCCTAATTTCCCCCTTCCACAGGTGGGGGTTTTTTGGCGAGGGTTTGGCGACATGGAATTTCCGTTGAGGTTTCAAAGTAGTGGATTTGGCGAGTTTGATAACATGAGGGAATGTTGTTGTTGCAACTATTTTAACTTTTGGCAAAGAGTGAGTTGTGCCAACTTCGCAGTCCAGCGTCCTCCCTTTTAACGGGTTGTTTAGGGGGATGAGCAACTTTTTGACACTATTTTTGACTGTTTTCACTTGCCGTGAAATTGTGCTGGCGGACAGCTGAATTTGTTTGGAATCGTGTTCAAGAGAATGAAAAGTGTGGTAGGGCCCTGGTTAGGCCGTTGCTTCTCGAGTTTTACTTAAATGAATTGGCTTAAGTAGCCGTTTCTCGTGGCCTTCGGCCCGAGAAAATGTTCGGCATCTCTATCAAATGAATTCTGTCAGCATAGATAGATCCGTTAGCACTTAAAATGTTGGATCTGCAACTTGTGAATAACTTCAGCATCGATAATAGCTCTTATAAATGTTTGAACTGCCACTTCTGAATAACTTCAGCATCGATACTTAACTTTTATCCTGTTAAACAATACTTTAATAATCAAATGAAAAAAATATATATATATAAATTTTAACAAGTTACACCTTCCACTTCACACAGAATAATCGGTACATAGGAATATTATTGCACTCAATACCATCCAAACAAACTAAAATAGTATTGCACATAATAATTTATATCATTTAATTTTTCCTTTTGATTAATTAAATATGGTTTAACCGATGATATAGATAAGTAGTTTGACACCATTACACTTCTACAATCAAAGTTCGTCCTGAGAGGAGCAAGAATGATCTAATACACTGGCACTATTACAAATCAATCCTTCACCAATGAGTAACTCAAACAAAACTCCAATAAAATTCAATTAAATAATTTCATGAAGAACTTATTTTTCTTTTATAATTAAGTTAAGTTACAATAATTTTAAAAAATAATCTTTAAATCCTTAGTCAATTTAATACTTTACTTCAACTCAACAATCAGAATTACTTCCCTAACCAATTAACTATTAGAAAAGAAAAAAAAAAAAAATCACTTAGCTGAAACTTCACAGGAGCCTGGTCCTGGCGAGTAAGAGGCGGTGGAACTCCAAACCAATTTCTTGAAACCAAGTGTTAACACACCAAAAGAGACGTTAAGGAAAAGTTCCTGTAGGCTATGGTCACGGAATTTCTTGAAATAGTAACTTTAAAACTTTTTGAGTCCCAAAAGTCTAATAGAAAAGTTCTTGGATACTATGGGCATGGAATGTCCTTAATTAGAAGCTTTAAAATTTTCTTGAAAAAAAAAAAAAAACGCACTGAATCGACGCTGAAGTTGAAGATCACACATATTTTAAGAGCTATTATCGATGCTGAAGTTATTCAAGTTGAAGATCATACATTTTTTAAGAGCTATTATCGATGCTGAAATTGAAGATCATACATTTTTAAGGGATATTATCGATGCTGAAGTTATTCACAAGTTGCAGATCATACCAGATAAATGATCATATCAGATAAATGCTGACGGATCTATCTAGTGCTGACGGAATTCACTTGATAGAGATGCCGAACATTTTCTCGGGCCGAAGGCCACAAGAAACGGCTACTTAAGCCAATTCATTTAAGTAAAACTCGAGAAGCAACGGCCTAACCAGGGCCCTACCACACTTTTCATTCTCTTGAACAGGATTCCAAACAAATTCAGCTGTCTGCCAGCACAACTTCACGGCAAGTGTAAACAGTCAAAAATAGTGTCAAAAAGTTGCTCGTCCCCCAAAACAACCCGTTAAAAGGGAGGACGCTGGACTGCGAAGTTGGCACAACCCACTCTTCGCCAAAAGTTAAAATAGTTGCAACAAACACATTCCCTCATGTTATCAAACTCGCCAAATCCACCACTTTGAAACCCCAACGGAAAATCTAATGCCGCCAAAGCCGCTCGCCAAAATAACCCCGCCTCGTGGATGGGGAGGGGGAACTTAGGAATTTCAACAACCCTTTAAGCAGTCCCAACGAAAGAACGCTGAAACTCGAAAAAAGCGACAATTTCTACCGGAAAGAGGAGCATTTCATCCCCCACAAAAGAAATCACAATGCAAAACGGAAAAAAATCTACTAATTAAAGCTCATAACTGAAATGCAATTAAAGTTCGGAAAACGAAAGTTATGTCAAATTAAAGAGCTAATTTTTCTCAACTAATGATATTAAATACTAAGAAATCAAATTAATTTTTGACATGAAAAACTGAGTTTATTACGTGAAAAAATTCACCTATCCATTGTTTGCGTGTACAAGATTGAAGACGCAGTTCGCGTAAACTCGGAAGACCAAAATATATTGCACTAGAATTAATAAGCCAAAAAGAATATAACCAAACTTGTGTAGCTCAAATTTTGAATAATTACAAATTAAAATTTTGATTTTTATGAATCACTTAATTAAATTAAATTCGCTACACAACATCCATGTTTACATGATTGCAAAAGTAACTATAATAGAGATTCTAAAGGCTAATGTTAAAGAAATAATCACTCAGTAATAGTTTGATTTGTAAAACAATAGTACAAAATTTGTTGAATATATTTTGATTTTCCAAGTAATGGATAATATATATATAAATTTGCAATAAAAGTTAAATAAATAATTTTTTTTTTTTTTTTTCTAGATCAATCTATGGTTAATTTATTTTGTGTGCTTATGATTTTTACCAGTCTTTACTCAAATGGATTTTAAGCGTTAATCCGGAATAAACACAACGCAAAATTTTCAACTTTATTGTTACTAGTATTTTTCTGTGGTAAGAGTATTCTGGTGTTATGGTAAATTAGTAGGGTACCTTTTGGTAACTTAGGAAAAAGCAGAAGGTAAAAATTCAAAAAAAAACACCATAACATATATATGAAGTTGTAATAAAAATTTAACCTTGATTACACAGAACTGTTGCTCCCAACTTTTTTTCCTTTTTATGTACTGCTTAACTCTCTGGCTGCTCATCCTACGATTTCCACAGGCAACACAAATGTAGCAAAATATGCTCAAACGCGGTTTTCGCGGACATGTGTTTTTTTGACCAACAAATGCCGTCAGGCGTCCACTAAATTGCGGCATTTGAAGATACTTAGTATTTACCGCTCTAACTTCACTATGTTTGCCACCTTTTTCTAATCAGAAATGGCTGCTATAAAACGTTCAGCGATTGATGAAGAAATATGGAAATGGGAAAAAGAAAAGGGAAAATGAAAAAAAAAAAAAAAAAAAAATCACAAAGAAACATGAATCTGGTGCAAAGACTGTGAAGTTGGACTTTGCCTTGGACCCTGTTTTGAATTCTATTGTACTAAACTACATTTCTAAGGTATTTCTTCCTCAGAGCATTATATAATTCTTAAGTTTTACCCATTTTACTTTTGTATTTATGTAATAAATAAAATTAACTGTAATTAAATTGAAATTTATTTAATTATTTATTTTGGGATAGTATCTGAAATTGTTTTTTTTTCACAGCTTAGTTTCTCATGATAAAAACCTGTATAAAAAATCTCTTCTGAAA